ATGCCTCAGGGTGAACTCCAGCTCAGGAAGTAACACTCCCTCTGTAGGGGGCCCCTTGCTGTCTTCTGTCTTGCAGGAAACAAACAGCTCATTTTCTAGGATCTGCCACAAGAGAAATCCTAACATATATCTGTAATTGCTTCAATTCCTGAACAAGGGCTTTCATATAATATTTGGTATAAAGTTTGGCTTCCCATAGGGCACTTAGGTTGTTTCCAGCTCTTTGCTATTGTGAACAAAGCTGCAGTAAACATGGGTGTGCATATATATATATATATCTGCTTGGATGTCAGTTATGGTCTCTTGGGGGTATATTTTCAGTAGTGGAGTTGCTGGGTCAAATGGTATTTCTATTTGCAACTTTTTGAGAAGGCGCCATACTGCCTTCCACAGTGGTTGCACCATTTTACACTCCCACCAACAGGAATAAGGGTTCCAGTTTCTCCACAACCTCGCCAGCATTTGATGTTTGCTGTTCTGTTAAATTTTGCTATTCTTACTGGGGTGAGATGATATCTCATAGTTGTTTTGAATTTTTCTTATTTTTAAAACCAAAGTTTGTGCCTTGTTTTCTTATTTTCTTAATAGTATAATTTGAGGAAAGAAGATCTCAATTTTGATCAAGACTATTATAGACATCTACATCTTGCTTTTGCGGTTGTATCTGAAAAAAATCTTTGCCTAATTGATGGTCAAAATATTTTTGCTTTTCTTCCAATTGTTTTATCATTTCACTCTCTTCATTTTTGCCCGTGACCAATTTATCCATTTCCCCACATAATATAAAGTTGTTCATGTTTGAGTGTGGCTGCCACACCCTCTGAAGAAAAGATGATCCTTTCTCCTCTGAATTCCCTTTGCATTTGTCATAAGCCAATGGAGCACATGTGAGTATCTGTATACGGACTCCTGCAGGGCCTCCAAGCTCGGGTGGTGCAGGCCTCAGCCAGCGCTGACCCAGAGACTGCTGGACTCTGGCAGTTAAAACCCACCACTGACTCCCGCTGACTCCAGAGGAGAAAAACGGCCGTCTCCTCCCATTGTCATGTTTTGCTTGCTAGTAGAATCAGAAGATCGCAACTGAAGGGAAGTGGGGGTGCGGGCCTTCAGGAGTCCTACTCTACATAAAGATCCTCTAAGGAAATAGATGTTAGTTCTAATCCACCAGATGCTCCACTGGAGAAGGGAGGGGCAATCTCCTCCTGTGCCAGTCACATCCTATCTGATGGCACACACCAATAAAAAATGAAGAAAAAAAAAAGAAAGAAATGGGTGTAATCCGTAGTGCAGGCTGTGGTCTTTGATCCTCTGCAGCAGGTGCTTTCAGCAAGCCAGCTTGTCATCTGAGTCATGCAGGTTGTTGGGGAGTCTGCCTCTGAGCCTGATGCCACATTCTTCTTCACAGAGTTCAGCTTCACGAATTATTTGCTCAGTATGCCGACTGATTAGGTACGTACACACATCCTGCCTGATTTTAAACCATACAATCTTCCTTTGTTCCATTCAGGCAACAACTTCTTGTTCTAGGTATAGATTTTACATGAGCACCATCAGGTGTTCTGGGATTCCCATTCTTCTCAATGCTAGCTGTAATTTATTATAATTCACACAGATTTTAGTCGTGATTTGTTATGATCCACACAGTCATTTCTCATAGTCAGTAAAACACAGTAGACATCTCTTTGATGTTCTCTGCTTTTAGCCATGACCCATCTGGCATCGGCAGTGATATTCCTGCTACCACAGCCTCTTCTAAATCCACCTTGAACTTCTGGTATTTCCTTTTCAATGTACTGTTCCAGTAGTTTTTGGATGATCTTCAGCAATATTTTGCTTGCGTGTGATATTAATGATATTACTTGATAATTTCCACATTCTGTAGATTATCATTCTTGAGAATAGGAACAAAGATGGACATCTTCACTATAGATTGCATCATGGCATCAAGAAGACAAAAGTCCTTACCACTGGGCCAGTGGGCAACATCATGGTAGATGGAAAAAGGATTTAGGAAGCTCTGGTGTCCTAATGGCAAGAAGCTGCACTGCAATCCCAGAGGTACGTGGTTCGAATCCACCAGATGCTCTCCTGGAAATGAAGGGGCAATCTCCTCCTGTACCAGTCAGATCCGATTTTATGGCACACACACACAACAATAATAATAATAAATTTTAAAAAAGAAAAAGGATTTAAACTGTCAATTATTTCATCTTACTTGGATCCATAATCAACACCCTTGGTACTAGCAGTCAAGAGATAAGGAGACATATTGCTTTGGGCAACTCCGCTGTTAGGGACCTCTCCAAAATACTGAAGAGTAGTGATGTCAGATTGAAGACTAAGGTGCACCTGATTCAGGCCATGGCATCTTCCATTACTTGTTATGTATTTGCATGATGAATAAGCATGACAGAAAAAGAATTGAGGCCTTTGAGTTGTGATGCTGTAGGAGACTACTGTCAAAAGAACAGACATGTCCTGGAAAAGGGCGCAGCCAGCACACTCCTTGGAGGCAGGGATGGCAATGCTTCATCGCTCATACTCTGGACACATTGTTAGGAGAGAATATTCTTAGAAAAAGATATCATGCTTGGAAGGGTGGAGGGTCAACACAAGAGAGGAAGACCCCCATCGAGATGGAGTGACACAGTGACTGCAGCAATGGACTCAAGAATGTCAGAGATTGTGAGGACGGCCCAGGACAGGACAGGGTTCAAATGTGTTGTTCGTAGGGTCACTATGGGTCATACCCGATTCGATGGTACCTAACAACAACAAGAAGGAAACAGATTTCAAGAGGAACCAGTCCTTAGAAAGGGGTATCAGGCTGGGAAAGGTAGAAAGTCGGCAAAAAGAGGAAGATCCTCAAGGAATTGGACTGACATAGTGAACCCACAATGGGCTTGCGAATGACAGAGGTAGTGTGGCTGGCGTAGGATGAGGCAGAGCTCAGAACTGCTGTTCATGAGTCGCTGGGAGGCCCAGCCCCTGGATGACCCTAACAACAACATAACAACCAAAGACACGGAATGCAACAGTTCGTCATCATCAAATCGACTCCAGTGGGTCTTCAAAGGCTGTGAATTGCATGGGAAGAGATTGCCTATCTTTATCCCATGGAGCAGCTGGTGGACTTGAACTACCTCGCAACAGATGTTGTGCTGTTGACAACACCATATCTATACCTTTAGGTCTCGCTTACCCCCAAGTGACCTTGTTAATGTAACCAAAGAAAAGCCCTTCTTCCCAAGAGGGCCACAGTCTCAGTCTTTCCCTGGGTTTAGGAGTCTCTCAGCACAGAGACCCCAAGTCCAAGGCCACGTTCTCTGCCCAGCTCTTCTTCGTTGGTGATTGGAGGCCTTTCTGATCTCTGCTCATTTGCAAGAGATTGACTGAAGGTGTTAATTACCTGATCCTACAGGATATACCCTGCTTTATTAATACAACAGTCTCTATAGGGTCACTTTGTGTTGTACTTGACTCAACAACACCCAACAACAACCACAACTACCACACCTCATTAATATCATAGCTGAAGAATCACAACACAGAATAACTATATCACCTCAACACCCAGGACCATAGAGGATGTTGGCCGCGGGCCTCTGCTGTCCACTGTCCTCAGCATAAGCAAGGGTGTTGAGGGTTGGTCTCTCGCTCTCACATGACACCCTCCAGAGTCACAGGCAGTGTGTTCTCACACCTGTCTGTTCTGCACAAAGTCAGTGCTCAGTGAACAGCTGTGTAACCTTCTGAGCCCAGCCTTTTCAAGCTGGGGTTCTAGCAACTTCCAAGCCCTGACTCCTCATGCCCAGGTGAGCATCATTTCAGGACACAAGGTCCTCTGCAGTTACTCTCCCGGCCAGGTGAGCTGTGTGTGCTCCCTGCCTCCTCTGTGGTGAGCAATGATGTGTGGAAATAGGGAAAGTGTTCACAGGGTGAGGTGTTTAGTACAAAGCAGCTCTTGTTCACCTTCCTCAGCTGGATCCTCTGTGCTCTTCAACTCAACAGCTGAACCAGCCAGTCAGAACGGACTCATGGCTGGGCCTCCAGCAGGTTTTCGAGGCTATAAATCTCAGAGGAGGGAATCGCCTGTCTTTCCGCCACAGAGCTGCTTGTGGATTCGAGCCAGCAGAGTCCGTAGCTCAGCTCCCGGTTGTCCTCTTGGGGACTTGTAAAAAGAAAAGGCTACAAAGGTGCTGTGGGGTTGGGAGCAGGACAGATGCTGACCATCCCTTTGACATGATGACAACGTGAGAAACTGACCAGTTGAGTATGGGTGCCCTGGAGGCCTAGTTGGTCGGGGGTCGTATTGTTAACCCAACAGCAGTGCACCTCTGGTGATTCGGACCCACCAGCAGCTCCAAAGAGAAAGATAGGCGTCTCCTCCGTTGTGTTTACAGCCCCGAGAACCAGTGGAGATCAGTTCAGGAGTCTATTCCAATAGGTGAGCCTGAGGTCTCATGGCGGGCTGCCTGTGGTTCCTGCCCAGCTTATCTGACTGTGTGCTGCCTGGAAATTTTATCAGCAGTTTACTAAATAATATACTGGTTTATGAGCATAGGGTTTCTGCTGTGCACTGAACTTCCTACACTTTGGACTCAGGGCTGAGAACATGAAGAGCTATGTAAGGGGCTCACATGGGGTGGGGTGAGGACAGGGGGCACCCAGATAAGTGAAGGAAGGGCAGTGGGTGGCCGAGGGTGGTGGAAGGTCTTGCTTCCTGCCACTGAATCTCAGTCCCCTGGCTAGGGGCCTTGATCTCCCCACTTTGTAAGTCAAATCAGAAGCCTGTGTCTATGCACCCGACAAGCTGTCGTAATGTTCCCCACCTTCTGTCCTGCTGCCTGCACTTTCATCACTTCTGTCACAAGATCCCCTCACACGTCTCTGATGCCCCGACACCCTCTCTCCACCCAGGCAAACCCCTCCTCGCCGGCTCTGTCTGCTCAAAAGCTCGCCCTGATGCGGCACCCACAGCCCTCATTCCTGTCACTCACCTCTCAGGGCCATCACTCCGCGGGACCTGCACTGGGACAGAGGGGCGAGCAGCCTGCAGCACCGCACAGACCAAAGCCTGGGCTGATGTACCTACAGACAAAGCCCAGCCCACAGCCCCACCTGCTCCTCAGGGAGGAGGTGCCTCCGAAGGTTCCTGCTGCCCAGATCTGGGAGGAGCAGGAAGGCCCCACCAACAGACCCAAGGTTTCTGATATTTCTGTCACCATGCCTGCTCTCGGGGTCACCTGTTCTTGCTTGTCCCCCAGCCATGGAGGTTTGCCCTTTGCTGACCTCTCAGAGCTGGCTGCCCACTCCCCTGGGCCTCACCTGTTCCCCCAACTTGGAGCTGCTTTCTCAACACATCACCCAGGGCCACCTCCTGCCCCCCAAGGGGTGTTCTCAAGCCTTACCAGGAGGGGGCGCCTGAGGGAGAGTCCCTGCTCCCTAGCTTGCTGGGGTCCTGGGTGAAGACCAGCTTCAGGAAAGGACTGGGTGGGGCCAATACAAGAGTCAGTAAAGTACTCACACTAGCACGCCATACATGTTCACAGAAGTCAAAGCAGTACTAGCACATGAACATGTATCGCAGCAGTCCGAACGGTACTGGTATAACACCACAAAACACCTCATGCAGTTTGAATCCACCAGCGGCTTTGTGGGAGAAGGATGGGCAATCTCCCACGTGACTCACTGCTTCTGAAACCCCCCTGAGAGTCAGCTCCGGGTCAGTTCCAACTCGAAGGCACACAACAACAACAGCAGAAAACTGGTTTCTGTCTGAAATACCCTGCAACAGTACCTTGAACAGTAAGGACTGCCCTTTGCAACTAACAAAACAAGACTAACTTCTCAGTAAAGGCAAGAGCACCAAGAAGGATGTCTACTTGTGTTTTGTCAGTTCTGCAAAGGCATTTGACAGTGTGGACCACAACAATTGTGTCTAACATTGAGAAGAATGAGAATCTCAGAACACTTGACTGTGCTCATGTGAAATCTACACTCAGACCAGGAAGCACTTCTCAGAACAGAGCAAGGAAACACTGCATGGTTCAAAAGAGGTAAGGAGCATGTGTGTCAGAGATGCGTCCTGTCTCCATATCTTTTCAATCTTTAAGCTGAACAGATCATTCAAGAAGCTGGACTTTATGAAGAAGAATATGGCATCAGGTTCTGAAGAAGTCTCCTCAACAACCTGTGTTATGCAGATGACACAATCCTGCTTCCACAAAGTGGGGAGGTCTTGAAGTGCTTGTTGCAGAGGATCAAAGACTACAGCCTTCAATATGGATTGTATCTCAACATCAAGAGAACAAAGATCCTTTTCACCAGGGCAGCAGACAGCATCATGAGAGATGGAGGAAGGACTGAAGTTGTGAATTCTTTAATCTTGTTCAGATCTACAATCAATACCCTTGGCACCAGCAGTGAAGAAGTAAAATGATGAGTTGCGTTGGGAAAATCTGCTGTCAAGGACTTCTCTAGAGCGCTACAGACTAAGGTGTGCTTGATCTAAACCTTTGTTGTTGTTGTTGTTAGGTGCCATCAGTTGAGGATTACCCTTGCCACCCTGTGAACAACAGATCTGAATCCTGTCCTGTCCCGTACCAGCCTCACACTTCCTGACAAACTCAAGCCATTTCTGCAGTCACTGTGTCAACCTGGTAGAAGTTCGTTCTTTCTTTCCCTGACCCTCTACCTTCCCAAGCACAATGTCCCTCTCCAAGGAACAGCATCTTCTAGAACATGCCCAAAATATCTAAGGTGAAGCTTTATCATCTTTGCCACCAAGGAGCGCTCTGGCTACACTTTCTCCAAGACATATTTATTTGTTCTTTTGGCAGTCCATGAGATGTTCAGCTCTCTTCTCTAATACCACAGCACAAAGATATCAGTTTTTCTGTCATCCTTATTCATTGTCCAGCTCTCAGATGCATAGAAAGTGATCAGAAGGACCATGGACTGAATCAGACATACTTTAGTCCTCAAACTGACATCATGGCTCTTCAATAATTTGGAAAGGTCCCTGACTGCAGACTTTCCAAGTGCAATACGTCCTCTGATCTCCTGACTGCTGGTACTAATAAGTGTGTTGACTATGGATCCAAGCAAGATGAAAGCATTAACAATTTCAATCCTTTCTCCATCTGATGAAGTTGTTGACCACTGCAATCTTTTCTCCATCGATCATGATTTTGTTTATGGGTCTAGTAGTAAGAATTTTTGTTTTCTTGATGTTGAGATGCAATACATATTGAAGGTTACATTCTTTGATCTTCTGCAACAAGTGCTTCAAGTTCTCTTCACTTTCTAGCATGCAAGGTTGTTCCAGCTTTTCAAAAAAATTGCTCAGCATGCAGATTGAATAGGTATGGAGATAGGTTACAACCCTGATGCACTCCTTTCTTAATTTTAAACTACGTAGTGTTCCTTTGGTCTATTTGCACAATGTCCACTTGGTCTAGGCAAAGGCAACTGCTTGCTATGCATCTGAAAGCTGGACAATGTCTAATGATGAGAGAAGGAACTTGATGTTTTGATGTTTGTGGTGCAAGAAAAGAGTACTGACTATACTATGGACTTCCAGGAGAACAAAGAAGTCTATTCTGAAGAAAGTGAAACCAGGGTGCTCCTTGGAAGCAAGGATGGTCAGACTCTGTCTCCCATACTTTGGACATGTTGTCAGGAATGACCTTGGAGAAGGACAGCCTGCTTGGAAGGGTAGAAGACCAGCACAAGAGAGGAATGTGGAAAGCCAAATAGTGAACTAAATATTAATCTAAATGATAAACCAAATGTTATATGAGGATATGAGGAAGGTGCAAATACAGGCTGGAATTCCTCCCGGGACAGATCCCAGGGGTCAAGCCAAGGCAGATCTCAAGGCGTCATCACAATTCTTGGATTGTATTTGCTAACCCCTCCCTCCAGAAATATGCATAATGTTGACAATTGAGATAAACTCCGCTTCATTTGCAAAATAATTTTTTCCTTACTTCCTTGTAATTCTAAATAAAAGCTGAAGAGATTGGGCCTCAGGGCTTCAGTCGTTGAGCTGTTCACCCCCTGCCTTCTGTTCTCTGTTTCTCCCTGTTTCTTTCATCCTGGTGTCTGTCCTGGAGTCCATGTCTCATCTGTGTCCCTGGCTGAGAACAGAGGAAGACTTTGGACGAAACAGATTGACACAGAGGCTGTGACAATGGAGTCAGACTCGTTGGAGATGGTGAGGTTGCCTGAAGATAGAGCAAAGTTCAGAGCCCTTGTTCTAGGGTCGCTACAAGCCTCAGTTGACTCAATGGCACGTAACAACAACAACAACAACAACCCTTCCCACCACTGCTCTGTCAGTTTGCATACTGTGGTGGCTGGCAGGTTGCTGTGACACTGGAAGATATGCCATCAGTATTTCACATATCAGTTGGGTCACTCACAGTGGATAAGTTTCAGTGGACTTCCAGGCTAAGAAGCGGGACTGGCCAGACTGCTGAAGTAACGGGCCTTCGAAACCTCTGTGGATAGTGAGAGAACACTGTTGGATATGGTGCCAGAAGACAAGTCCTCAGGGAGGAGCTGCTTGGAACACTGCAGGGGACGAGTCTGCAGTAATAATGAGGTGGACTGACGCTTCCAAGAAGACAGCCATTAACTGTGATGACTTATTAATTGTAACATAGAATATCACAAGTATGTGGTGGTGGTGGTTGTTATGGACCTTGAGTCGCTTGCGACTCATAACGACCCTGTGTACAACAGCCCTAAACCCTGCTCTAGTCCTTGCCAATCTTATTTTCTCTGACACACCTGCCTCCATTACCCCCAGCGACGGAATCAATCCATCTCATCAAGGGTCTTCCTCTCCTGTGCTGTCCTTCCACCCTCCCAAGCATGATGCCCCTCTCCAAGGACTGGTCCCTCCTTACAACATGTCCAAAGTGTGTCAGACGAAGCTTCAGAATCCTTGCCTCCAAGGAGCAGCCTGGTTTCACGCTTTCCAGGACAAACATGTTTGTTCTCCAACAGTCCATGGGACATTCAACACTCTCCTCCAGCACCAAAGCATAGATGTAGCAAAACTGGAAGTGTTGCAAAAATGAAATGAAAAAAATGAAAGCACACACCTTCAGCTTGGGCCCCTCCTGGACCCCACGTCACTCCTACTGTCCACCACGACTGTCCTGTTTTCCCGGCCAGGAAGCTTCATCTTCCAGAACATCCGAAAAAGAGACACGGTGACCGGTCAGTGTGGCTCGTAAACAGCCGCTTCAGCACAACCTGAATGAAGGTGGGGCTGGCGCGTCTGGCCGGGACCCGGAGCAGCTTGACCAGCAGCCGGAGGTAGGTGTCCTGGCCCTTGGGCTCCTTGTGGTGGGGTCCTTGCTGTGGTGGGCGTCAGCTCCCGTGACCCTCCTGCTCAGGCAGCTCCAGAAGGAAGGCCTCGTAGCGCTTTAAAAGCAGAGAGGAACTGACATGAAGCAGCCACGTGAGCACGAGCACGAGCCGTTCCATCTGAAAACTACTAACAAAAAAATGTCTTTAAAAAAATATAAAAGAGGTTTTCTGTCGGGATGCTTCTTTATTCAAACTGAAGCCTTCCGGTGCCGCTTGCCTGTCTATCTTGGAATCTGTAGCCGAGAATTGCTCATTTTTAGCACATAGACGCTGCCAAGCTGTGCTGGGGCCTTGAGAAGGCTGAGCCAGTTGGCCTGGGACAAGATCGTGGCGTCAAAATGCCCGAAGAAAAGATATATAAACAAAACAAAACCCCACACAACTTCTTTAAAAAATTCACTTCTGTTCTACTGTCCTGCCCCGGAGCCTCCAAGACAGGGGGGCTCATTCAGGACGCTCACACCCCGTGTCTCCAGCCCCTGCCCACCCCCAGTCCCGGGGCTCTTGCATCATTTCCGTTTATATTATTATTACTACATCCGTCGAAATAGTTTTCATAACTGAGACATTCTCTTAGGCTGGGATCTCTTGTTGTTAGGTGCCACTGAGTCAAGTCCAATTCATAG